ATTCATATTATTAGTAGTTTTATTTGCTTTACTCTACTAAGGAGTGTTCTTTCTTTATTGAATGTCTAAGTAATGTGCTTAAGTTTGTCATGAGATAGATGAGACATAACAGGAAATCTAAGTGCAAGACAAGTGTGAGACGAGAAAATGTTATGTCAGCTTTTAGACGTCCTGGCTTCTTACAAACGCATCTGGAGGACATAGTTAGGCACCTTAAATGGACATACATGTTGAATATGCATTATGATTGGATGAGATCAAAGCATGCGGATTTGATGAAGGTATAAATGTTGAGTTGGGGTGCCTCTTTGTCACACTCTGCAGCCTATCTGTATGACTGTAGACTTTTCTTGCAAGAAAATAAATCTTCAAAAGACTTTTGTCTCATATGATTTTTCAGCCATTTTGAATAAAATCAACTTAAAATGTCTATAATTACTCAAAGGTCTTAAAGCACTCGAATCCCGGTAATTGCTGCTTGCAGCTATATTATATTTTTATCTCTTTCTCTTGAGTGTTTCCACGAGTATGTGTTCAGCAAAGACGCAAATGGTTTTTAGTGGAAAACTAGTAAAATACAGTGCAATTGTGATTACAGTAATTCAAAAACATTATGTGAATGCAGCATTAATCTAATTTCAAATTACATTGTTGAAATAGTTTATTTCTTTGACACAGATCCAGAGGGTGTGAAGCTGAATCTGGTTGTGTGTGGGAGTAACACAGAATTAAAATCCTTCATATCAAACCAGATCCTGAAGCAGAGCGAGAGAAGATCCGAGCTGAGCTCCGAGTGTGTGAGGAGAGACGTGGTGATGGTCCTAACAAAAAGTTATCAAAAGCTTTTGATGCTGTTTTCAGCAATTCTTTGGCACATTGGCACCAAACTATGTGTGTGTCATTGTCACCCCTAGTTATCCACACCACATCAATTTGGGAGCAGCGCCACCTATTGGTCAAAAGTGATAAATCATTAAATAGTATTACTAGTTGTGGAGGAAATTTTATTTTCCATTCATATTATTAGTAGTTTTATTTGCTTTACTCCAGCTCAAGAGTCAACAAACACATCATGATCCTCATAAAGCAGAATCCAGAGCATCAGACAGCAGAACTCAATGAAGAAACACAGTCTGTCATTGAGAGATTTGAAGGACGACATCATTTCATCGGCCTGAACACACAAGTGTCTGAGCTGATGGAGAAACTGGAGCAGATGGTTGAGGAAAACAGTGGTGTTTGTTTCTCCACAGAGACACTGATGGAAGCACAGATGGAGAAACTGCAGGAAGTTGAAGAAATGAAGAAGAGAGTCCATTCATTACAGACGTGGTTTCAGTCACAAGGTAATGATCAAAGAATCTGCATTGGTTAAACACTTTTCATGATTGTTAAAGTCAAAACAATATTATATGCAGACTACAGAACTAATAATATGATTAGCACTTGATGCTTCAGTATAAATTATATAGGCTACAATTGACAGTATTCACTTGAAGTTGAATACATTTTTTTTTTAATCTATCTTTAGATTCAAGAAACAGAGAAGATGAACTGAGGATTGTTCTGCTGGGAAAAACTGGAGCTGGGAAGAGTTCAACTGGAAACACCATCTTAGGCAGAGAAGCATTTATATCAGACTTTTCTGAAAAGTCTGTTACTAAAGACTGTCAGAAAGAGACAGAAGTTGAATACATTTTTTTTTTAATCTATCTTTAGATTCAAGAAACAGAGAAGATGAACTGAGGATTGTGCTGCTGGGAAAAACTGGAGCTGGGAAGAGTTCAACTGGAAACACCATCTTAGGAAGAGGAGCATTTAAATCAGACTTTTCTGAAAAGTCTGTTACTAAAGACTGTCAGAAAGAGACAGATAAAATCAACAGCAGACACATCACTGTGATCGACACTCCAGGACTGTTTTATACTGAACTCAGTAATGAACAGATCCAGAGAGAAATCAGAAACTGCATCTCCATGATCCTGCCTGGACCACATGTGTTTCTCCTACTGATTCCACTGGGACGATTCACTCAAGAAGAACAAACAGCAGTGAAGATCATCCAAGAGATGTTTGGTGTGAACTCATTAATGTACACCATAGTGCTATTTACCAATGGAGACAAACTGAAGAACAAAACCATTGATCAGTTTTTGGGAGAACCTGGATCTGCCCTTAAAAATCTGGTTGAAGCGTGTGGAAACAGATTCCATGTGTTCAATAATGAGACTAGAGACCGAACACAGGTGACTGATCTACTGCAGAAGATAGACAACATGGTGAAAGCAAACGGAGGAAGTTACTACTCATGTAAGATGTTCAGAGAGATGGAGAGAGAAATACAAGAACAACAGAAGAACATACTGATGGAGAAAGTGGAGCAAGTGAACAGAGAAAAAGAAGAACTGATGAACAAACATAAAGAAGAGAAAAAGAAGATGAAGATGAAGATGGAGAAAGAACAACAAAATCATGACAAAGAGAGAAAGAGAAGAGAAGAAGAATGTATTGAGAGAGAAGAAAGATATAAAAGAGACGTTAAAGACATCGAGGAACAAGAGAGAAAGATACGAGAGGAGCTGAAGAGAGAACGAGAGGAATGGGAGAAACAGAAACAACAGGAAAGACAAAGAAGAGACGAAGAGGTGGAGAAATGGAGAAAGAAAGAACAGGCGATGTGGGATGAATATAATCAGAGACTTAAAGAAGAGAAGGAGGGAATAAAGATGATGATAAAGGAAGAAAGACAGAATCATGAGATAGAGAGAAAGAGAATAGAAGAAGAATATATAGAAGAACAATACAAAAGAGACATTAAAGACATAGAGGAACAAGAGAGAAAGATACGAGAGGAGCTGAAGAGAGAACGAGAGGAATGGGAGAAACAACAGGAAAGACAAAGAGAAGAAGAGGAGAAAGAAAGACGTATATTTAATGAACTGTATACAGGAACTCCTGAGGTTCAGCACACAAACAGTGAGTCAAACAATAACCAACTAATTTTGAAATTAATTTGCAAAAAATTTAATATTTGGGTGTAAACAATACTTTTATTTTACTATACTTTGCTGTTCAGCAGTTTATGTGGTTGCTATATTGTTGAAGAAATATTTCACTGGTTTATAATCATAAATTGTAACAAGTAGCATTTCGGGATCTAGATCAGTTTAGTTTACAGTGGAGCCACCAGCTGAAACCACAGATAAATTGCTTGTAAACACTGTTATAAACTTCCCTATATGTCTAGGGGTAAGCGAGGTTGTAACAAATCTAAAATTAAAAAAGGGGTTGACGGTCACATCAATCCCCTGATCCAGAAAAGCAACGAACACAAGATTAAGCAATTAGTTATTTTTTTTATTGGTAACCAAAAGAGTAACAACGAAAGCAAATCTTCAGGAGAGGGCAAGGCCAACATAACAAAAGGAAAACATTAAATATCATATACAAAAGAAAATAAATAAAACAACAACAAAGTCTGACCTTACTGCCTGACTAAAATAAACAGACAAATTTCAAGTTCAAAGAAAAGGGCACCGTCTCCCTACAGCTTCCCAAAAGCAAACAAAATATACATGAAAGGGGGGGGGGAAACCCTTCGTGTTTACATGCTCTCTCACAGTTTGTGATTGAGCAATTCATTCACAAAGTTAAGAGGTAAAGACTGCACACGGTCGCACAGGGATACACAAATCAAATCACAGTTCTGGATCAGGACAAAGAGTGAAGCGCATTTCCGTCAACACTTCAGCTTTGCTTCCTTGCTTTATTATACTTTTTGGGGTTCTGTGGCATTCACACACTATTGATGGGCGATGAGCATCAGCTGGAACCCGATTGGCGGTCTGCAATGGAGAGAGAGAGAGAGAGAGAAAGAGAGAGGAAGGGGAGAAGAGAGGGCACGTTCAATAGATGACACTCTCCCAAGATCGCCCGTTTCACAAATATGTCCACAGGACGTAAAACCCCCACCACTAAGAACGTAAATAAAGAGAAAGACAAAATCTTAAAATACAAAACCCAGCTATCTCTTAGATAGTGGACACACAGTACTTTGATAACTCTCTCTTATACTCTCGAATGGGCATCTGCCATAACGTTCTCCGCCCCTTTATTGTGCCGGATATCCAAGTTGTTCTCTTGTAGAGTGAGAGACCACCGCAGCAATCGTTGATTGGCACCTGACATACGAGAAAGGTACACCAGAGGGTTATGGTCAGTATACACTACAACAGGGCTAATACTGTTCCCCAGGCATACATCAAAATGCTTGAGAGCTAATAACAGTGCAAGGGCCTCCTATTCAATTACACTGTAATTCCGTTGAGCTCCAATGAACTTTCTAGAATAATTGGAGGCAGGATGTTCAACACAAGCTTGATCTTCCTGTAACAATACTGCTCCAGCACTATTATCACTTGCATCCACCTGCAATTTAAAAGGTTTTTCAAAATCAGGGGCAGAAAGAACAGGAGCCTGACAGAGGAGATCCTTCACTGCTTCAAAGGCATGTTGACAGTCAGTAGACCACACAAACTCTCGGTTTATGCTGAGGAGATCTGTGAGTGGACAGACCAAGTTGGAAAAGTTTGGACAAAAAGCTTGATAGTAACCACTCATCCCTAGAAAACGTCTTAGTTCACTTTTATTTGATGGAACAGGAAACTTGAGTATGGCTGTTATTTTAGCATCAATTGGTTTTATCAGTCCCTGACCGACTTGCTTACCCAAATAGGTAATAGTACCTTTAGCAAATTCACACTTTGCCAGGTTTAGCGTTAATGAAGCAGCCTCTAAACATCTACAAACTTCTCTGAGTGTCTCCAAATGTTGTACCCAATCATCTGAATGAATCACAATATCATTAAGGAACACTTCACAATCTGACACCCCCGAAAGGACTTGATGCATCATCCTCTGAAATGTAGCAGGTGCATTTCTCATCCCGAAAGCTAAAACAGTATATTGTAGAAAGCTATCGGGGGTCACAAATGCAGATATTTCAGAGGCTCGTTCAGTGAGAGGCACCTGCCAATATCCCTTCAATAAATCCAGCTTAGTGATATATCAAGCTGAACCGACTTTATCCACACAGTCCTCAATTCTGTGAAGAGGAAAGGAGTCAGGCTTTGTTATGTTATTAACTTTACGGTAATCCGTACAGAACCGAAAGTTAGAATCAAGTTTAGGTACAAGCAGGCAGTGAGAGCTCCATGGGCTCTGACTGGGCACAGCCATACCGTGACTTAAGTATTTATCTTCATTTTGCATAACTTCTCGCTTTTGTGGATTTAATCTGTAAGGTGTGAGGGCCACAGTTCCCGAGTTAGGCCTACGGAGGGCCTCTAAAGACGATATTCTCCCCAAGGAATTTTTTTAGGGGGGGGGTAGTATGGGTCCGTCCATAGTGGCCGGGCCAAGGCCACGGAGGCCGTCCAGCCATGGCCTTCTGAGTTCCCTGTTCTGCCATGGACTCCTGAACTGGCTGCTCCGCCATGGCTTCCTAGTTTGCCTGCTCCGCCATGGCACCCTGAACTGACTGCTCCGCCAGGGCTCTCCAAGCTCCCTGTTCCGCCATGGCCTCCTGAACTGCCTGCTCCTTCATGGCTCCCCGAGCTGCCTGCTCTGCCATGGCCCCTGAGCTCCCTGTGCCGCCATGGCCTCCTGAACTGCCTGATCCACCATGGCTTCCTAGTCTGCCTGCTTAGTTCATCATTTGTTTCCAGCTGTGTTTTGTTAATTATCTTCATTTGCTCCTGTATTTAAAGTGTAGTCTGCCCTGCCTTCCTTCGTCCGGTATTGAATGTCTGTGAACGTCGATCCCCGTGTCCTACGTGTGGTTTTCCCTATTGTAAATAAAGTCTGTGATAATTCTGGAATCTCTTTCGTCTCCTCGCTCCTTCACAGTAGGCACACCGTGACACTGACAGGCACCCCCTGATGAAGTTTTGCTTAGGGCCCCCAGAAGTCTTTAAGTCTTTGTATTCAAGTTTCGAATCAAGACCAAGTCAAATTGTCCTGGTTAAAAGTTGCAATGTGGTCAAAAACACACTGAACAGTTGTGATATATAGTCAATGTCAGAATTATGAGCCCCATTGGTAAATATGAGCAAAGAAGTCTGTGAAAATAAATCAGCATTGTTTATCCTTATGATCATTTAAATGTCACAAAATGTATCTAATCTAATCTATTTATTATTAGAAGAAGAAGAAGAAGAAGAAACCTGTTTTTATTAGTAATATTAATATTATAAACACAGGGAATATTCAGAGAGGACAGTTAGCCTTCATTTTATTTAACGGGATCAGAGACCTGCATAATGGATAGGGGGTGGTGACCCAAAACCACTGAGATGAACAGTCACTTATAGTTAAAATTGCAGGTTTGAGTTTAACAATTGTTGCTCAGGGTCCTAAATTTAATCAATTGTTGTTAATCTCTACACTCTATTATTGTCATTTTCAGATGATGAAGATTCACCATCAAATTCAGGATGTTTGAGAATCTTGCTGTTTGGGAGGACAGGAAGTGGAAAGTCTGCCACAGGAAATGCTATCCTCGGAAAAAATGGGTTTTACAGTAAAGACAGCTCATGTTTAGTGACCACTACTTGCACAAAGGTAATTGGTAAAGTTCATGGTCAATCAGTAGCTATTATTGATACTCCAGGACTCTTTGACCCCTCACTGACAAACGAACAAGTGCAGGAAGAAATAATGAAATGTGTTTCACTGTCAGCACCTGGACCACATGTGTTCATCACTGTGTTTAATATGGGAAAAATCACCAAAGAGGAGAAAGACACTTTAGAAATGATAATGAAGATCTTTGGACCAAAAGCAGCAGAGTTCAGCATTGTTCTCTACACTAGAGGAGACAAACTAAAAAAACAAACAATAGAACAATATGTAGGAAAATATAAAAATGATGACCTTGAGAAACTGATCAGTGACTGTGGAAACAGATTCCTGGCTTTTAACAACACAGAAACACAAGATCAGACGCAAGTTACTAAGCTGTTCAATATGATAGAAGAGATGAAGAAATCTAATCAGGGCCGATATTTCACTAATGAGATGTTTGAGGAGGCAGCGATCACCATTAAAGAGAGAATGAAAATTATAAAAGAGAATGAAAGACAAAATCAGGCTCAAGTTGAAGAATTAAAAGCCAAATATGACATGCCATTCGAAAACATGAGAACAAGACTGGAGGCGAAGAAACAAAGGACAGATGAGGAAAGAGAGAGACTGGAGAAGAAGCTCAGAGAACAAGAGGAAACACTGAGGAGAGAGTTTGAGGAGAAAGAAAAATCAGAGGAGGAACAGCAAAGAGCTGAATATAATCAAAGAATAGAGGAGATGAAGAGAGAGAATGACGATAAGAGAATACAGTATGAAGAAGAGCAAAAAGAAAGAGAAGAAGAAGATAAAAAGAGAGAGGAAGAATATAAACAAGATCAAGAAAAGATGAAAAATGATCATGAACACATCATGACAGAGTTAAGAAAAGAACAGGAAGAGGAAATAAAAAAGAGAGATTCAGAGGAACAAATGAGGAAGAAGCAAGAAGAGAAAGAGAGAGAAGAATGGAAGAGAAAAATAAAAGAGGCTGAAAATGACAAAGAGACTCAAGAGAAAATTAAACGACAGCAGAGAGAATGGGAGGATGAGAAGAAACGACAGATGAGAGAACGAGAGGAAGAGGAAAGGGAGAGAAAAGAGAAACATGAGGAACAGCTGAGAGATAAACAAGAAGAACTGGAGGACAAGAGAAAGAAATCTGAAACCAAGAGAGAAGAAGAAAAACAGATGATAGAAAAGGAGAGAGAAAAACAGAGAACAGAGAGAGAACAGAAAGAGAAAGAATGTGAAGAGAAGATAAATGAAATGGAGAGACGTTATGAGCAGCTGGAAAAAGAGAGAAAAAAGGAGTGGAAGAGAAGAAAACAAGAGGATGAAGAGAGACGAGTGGAGAAGAGAAAGAGATGGGAGAAAATGATGGAAGATCTGAAACGAGAGCAAGAGGAGGAGATCAAGAGAAGAGAAAGAGAGGAGAGAGAAAGAACAAACACAGAAGAAACAGAGTGTGAAGAAATGAAACAGAAACTTGAAGAGGAAATAGAGAAGATGAAGAAGAAACATGAAGATGAAACCAAAACACAAGAAGCAGAATTGAATGATTTCAGAGAGAAAGTAGATCAGCAGGTTAAGGAGCTCACAGAGAAGATAACTGAAACCTATGATGACGAAAAATCAAAAAGGGAAAGAAGTTGTCTTGTCATGTGAAATATTTTTTAATATTATTGATGAGCCAAATGACTAGCTCTGGTCTTTTGAAGGGTTCTTTTGCATTTCTGTTTCTCTCAAGCATGAGTGAGTTACTGTATCTGTATTCATTTAATCAGGGCTTTTCCCACCTGCTCCTGAAGGTTCAGAGTTTAGTCACAACCCTGCAGTTACACAGCTGTCGGTCATTAAAGGGATAGTTCACCCAAAAATGAAAATTAGCCTATGATTTACTCACCCTCAAGCCATCCTAGGTGCATATGACTTTCTGCTTTCAGACGAATACAATCAAGAGTTATATAAAAAAAATTCCTGGTTCTTCCAAGCTTTATAATGGCAGTGAATGGGTGTTGAGATTTTGAAGCCCAATAAAGTGCATCCATCCATCATAAAAAAGTTCCTCACATGGCTCCGGGGGTTAATAAAGGCCTCCAATGTGTTTTTGTAAGAAAAATATCCATGTTTAAAACTTTATAAACCGTAATCTCTAGCTTCCGCTAACTGTTGTACACACGTTCATTCCGTTTTTATGATGGATAGATGCACTTTATTGGGCTTCAAAATCTTTACCCCCATTCACTAGGCGCGTTTCCATTACAGATTTGCGCAAGCGTTTTTGCGAAATTGACGCGTTTCCATTAGGCGTATTTTCAATTCGCAATTTCAATTTGCGCAATTTGAAGGGTAATGGAAACGTGCCTACTGCCATTATAAAGCTTGTAAGAACCAGGGCATTTTTTAATATAACTCTTGATTGGATACGTCTGAAAGAAGAAAGTCATATACACCTAGGATGGCTTGAGGGTGAGTAAATCATGGGCTAATTTTCATTTTTGGGTGAACTATCCCTTTAAGAGATCCTGAAGACCTTAATGAAGATGTTTTATTAGAGTTGGAGCTCTACAGGAACAAATGTGTATAGACCTGAACTAAAACAATCATACAAAGTTAACTTTCTCTTGATAGATTTTAAAAAAGGAAGAAGCAACATGAATTATAGCAGGACTATAAAAAAGACAGGACTGTAAGATATAGTGTAGTGAAGACCAATGTTAACAGCATCCTGTGTTCAGAACAGATCAGCCGCTTGATCCAGCAGTAAGAAAACTGATGTCAGCTGTTCATGAACTGTAAAACCTCTCATTCAGTATATGAAGCCTGAGATGCTGATGCAGGATTCTTAATAGCAATCAGACATTTATTAATTTATAATCACTGAATCATATAATCATTGTTAATTTAATTAATCAATTTAATCATTTATAATACATTTTAATAACCATTTAATCACTTATAATCACTTATTATATTACTTATTATTTTATTTGCATTTGTAGTGCTTGATGTTGTTTAATCTAATGGTGATTCCAGTGGACACACGCCGTTATGATTGTGTGTTTCAAGGGATATTTGTCTTCAGGAATAAGAGAATCTCTCCATTTCAAGGCTTTAAATGTCACAGGACGATGATGTGAAGCAGTCATTTTTCATTTCTATTGTTTTGGTATAAAAATGTTTGTTGGATTTGCTGGTCAGACAAAGTAGGGATGAAGCCAATGAAGTCAGACTGAGCACTGAAACATGCAACTAAGCACTCCTGCTTTCTTTCTGCTATGTGACAGAGATTAATGAGTTTCAGCTAACGGGTTAACGAATTTTGAGTATCAGACAAAACAGATATTTTCTCACATTATCCAGCATCTGGGGTTGGTTCTAATATTTCTGATTTGGGATTCGAACTAACACTGATCACAATGATACTTATAAATCATAACTAACAGTTTAGAGAGAGTTATACGGGGAGTTCGTATTTACTCCGGGTGTTGTTTTCATTGAATTATTTGTAACATGATCATCTGAGCATTATTCTGGAATCATGCTGTATTTCCACATATTCAGTTATTTTATGCTGTCTATTAACACAAAATAAATAAATAAATAAAATTCCTCATTAACAGATTGTGTGATGCTGTTAGTCCTTTATCACTGAGTTTCTGAACAGTACCCAAATAATACATTTTACAAACCATTTAACAATATAAACAGATTTTTCAGTTATTGTTCTGTTTGTAAAGAAATTATTGTTCACCATTAAAAGTGTTCCTCACTAAACAAGCTGCTCCTGCATGAGAACCCATCACAAATGTTACATTTAACACTATATAATTGCTTTCTACATATTGACCGTTTTAAAAAGTCATTTTTAACATAAATGAAACTGCTGAATTCTATAAATAAAATTTTACAAACAAGCTAGGCTACTTTACAAGTGAATTGAGAGTTTGACTTTTTTTTTTCTTTTTTTCATTGTGACATTTACACAGACATACGATTGGAAGATTATTGCAACTTCATGTCAGAACACTTTAACACATCTTAACCAGACACTACGCGATAAGATTCCCGAGTAAAGCGAATTGGCCATATGCACTAACTTCCGGGTAAAGATAAGCCAGCTCGTAATCTTCCGGTGAAGCTCATTTTATATATGTGGAGCTGTCTCTTTAATACCGCGTGGTTTATATACATGCTGCTGCTGATTGGGCTGACATGTTTGACACACCCACCAAACAAGAGAAAACACATCTCAAACCCCGTTGCACACCGTTTCCAGGAAACATGTCGTTCAAACCGGAAACCGTAGCAAAACGGTGCACACCGGTTTGAGCTTGAACGTGCCCCAGATGTGACATGGCTACACGACGCAAGAAAATCAGTCAAAAACTACAGCCAATCAGAACAGCGTGTGGGCGGAGCCTCTCTGTAAGCGCACTGCACTCGCAACATAATGGATAAGTGTGTATTTCATAAATATTAAACTATTTTAAAATTAGTAAAATACATACTAAGTGACTGAAACAATCTTTGTCGTGGAATACACTTCGCACGACATCGCAGAAATAGAAACTGTTTCTAAAATAGAATCCACTGTCGCTCGTTATGTATTGCTGTAATGGCAAACATGGAAAAGATACGTTTTATCGCATGCGTAGCATCACGTCTGGTTAGGACACGGTGTAAAGAAGTTCTTTCTTATTGTGTATGATCAAACATCAGCAGGCTTCTTCACATACTGATAATTATTTATATGAATCGAGAAGGCATCTATGTGTGATTTGTTTTTCCATTGGCTTTTTCAGCTCAAATGCTGGGTTGAGCCCACTGGGTCATTTTAAGAGTTATTCTTTCAATGTTGTGTAGTTTTGTGTCAATCTCGCCGACAGCTGAAACAAATGCACCCTTCCTTCATCCCCGACATAACAACCAGTGTTGGGTAAGTTACTAAAATAAAAGTCATTTATTACTAACTACTAATAACATCAGGGGCATAAATGCATTTACAGAACAATTACAAAAGCATATTAGATTCTGAGACGCTGGAGTCATTTAGTCAGTCTTTTATGCTGCATTGCCTCTATATCATTTATTATTTATGAGTTTCTTTCTTCTGTTGAACACAAAAGAAGATATTCTGAAGAATGTTGGTGACCAAACAGTTGCTGGTAGCCATTGACTTCCACAGTATTTTTTATTATATATACTATGAAAGTAAAACATCTTTTGTGTTCAGCGGAAGAAAGAAACTCACACAGGTTTGGAACAACATGAGGGTGAGTCAATAACAACAAAAGTTTCATTTTTGGGTGAACTATCTCTTTAAGTGTTTGTCGATGTGCTTGTCAGCACATAATGTCAAATATTATAATTTGGCATGAAAATACAGAGCTGATATGCAGGAATTTCTCACCGGAAGAAATATCCAGAAGATCCAGGGCTCTCGTCTTGCAACATGCAAATGTTCTTTGAGATGCATGACCTTTCGAGCTCAAAGTCTATCTCTGACATGTGGGTGAAATATACCTTAGTCCAGAACAGTCTAAAATTAACAAAGAAAAGGTACAGTTGAAATCACACATTAACATAAGCTCACCACATTTCCTACTCCAGTGTCAAACATCATTAAAATCTCGGGATGTAGCCTACATTGCAGCATCCTAGTCCTGTATATAGCACACACAGCATTACTTTAATTTAACATGAATAGTTAGTATGTGACTTACATTGCGACCAACAGCGGTGTCTCTCTTGATAACTGATGACTAGTGATGATGACAATTATAGTCCATAAAAACGGGTTATAAAATATACATTAAAAATGAACAAATGAAAGAGACAGCAATTACAAGGTGTTACAATGCAATTGTATAATTAGATTTTGTGTTATTAGTACATTTAAGAGAGTCAACAAACATAAGCCAAAAAACCCTTAAAACATGGTTTAGAGTTACACCTTTTACTTTTATGTAGCCTATATGAAATTTACCATATAAAATCATAAGATTCACCATAAAATTCACATAATTTTTGATTCATAATATATGAAAACACCTTTGCATATTATATCTAAATATTGTCAAGATTGTGTCCCTTCCCCTCCTCTCCCTTCCCTGCTAAACGTGATCGAATTTGAAAGTGAAAGTGAAAAACCAGCGCGCGCATGAAAGCGACTGCTCGCAATAGCTGATTGCCCACGCCACTGCTGAATCTATGTGTATATCTGCTAATTCGATTCATCAGAACAACTAAAGAAGAAACAGCATCTTCCCTGTTTCATTTCTGATTTTAAAAAAAATGTATATTAGGTAACCCTTAAAACATGGTTTAGAGTTACACCTTTTACTTTTATGTAGCCTATATGAAATTTACCATATAAAATCATAAGATTCACCATAAAATATAAATAATTTTTGATTCATAATATATGAAAACACCTTTGCATATTATATCTAAATTGTGTCAAGATTGTGTCCCTTCCCCTCCTCTCCCTTCCCTGCTAAACGTGATGGAATTTGAAAGTGAAAGTGAAAAGCGACTGCTCGCAATAGCTGATTGCCCACGCCACTGCTGCATTTATGTGTATATCTGCTAATTCGATTCATCAGAACAACTAAAGAAAAACAGCATCTTCCCTGTTTCATTTCTGATTTAAAAAAAAATGAATATTAGGGTTGTGTGTTACATCTAATGTTGTTAAATGAATGTTTATTGCATTATTTCAGTTTCATGTGTGTTACCATGATGGTGTTTAGTGTTTGTGTGAATGACACTGTGCACCTTCTATATATGTTATTATTTAAAAGCTGCTTTGGTTCATCATGTGACTTTCTCATCACCACCTGCATTTGGTGGTTATCGGTGTATTACAAAGCTACAAAACAGATTTCAGTACTTCAATAGGTTGGTATATTAACATTATATCAGTTAATGAAATTACGGTATTTAACTGTAAATTTAAGTTAAAACCGTAAAACCTCAAATGTTGCTACAGTATTTTTTACGGTAAAATTCCGGCAACCACAGCTGCCGGTTTTTTACCGTAAATTTTAAACAGGCTATTACCACAAATCAACGAAGATAAGTGTAAAGAATCACAGACTAATAAAAGAAACCTCACGCACGTAAAACCTCAAATGTTGCTACCGTATTTTTTACGGTAAAATTCCGGCAACCACAGCTGCTGTTTTTTTTCCGTAAATTTTACAGAATTTTTTTTACAGTGTACATATAACATTAATAAACAGGCTATTACCACAAATCAACAAAGATAAGTGTAAAGAATCACAGACTAATAAAAGAAACCTCACGCTGAAGTTTAGTTTCTTCCTGGTGTTCAGTGCCACGATTAAACATAAATGTAAGAGCGCCGTGAAATAACATTCAATAAACTAAACGAAGTAAACAACTGTTTACTGTTGACTAATATTTCATAAATAATTAATAAATCGAGGAAACGTGGCTGCATATATTTGTATCCAATTTGATTCTTACCTGAACTTCACTCCATTTTCACAGCAACACAAACATCGAAATCGAAAGAAAAGCACTGATCGAGAGAGCTGACCTGCGTCTGCAGAGACTGGGAAAATAATTGATTTTATATTGATTGAAATTAAGCTTTCTGCGTCCATTCATTTTCCTTCTTTAAACCAGAAATGAAATACGGAAGACGTGGTTTCTTCTTTAACTGTTCTGATGAATAGAATAAGACAAACTCTTAAAAATGATTTTTAATATATATAAATGCAGTAGCAGCTCCTGGCCATTAATTTAGACGAAGCAGATTCTGGGTCGTAGTTCTATCTCTATGATTTCTCATTCATAATCGCTGAACTCATGCAGACGCGCTGCTGGAAGAGGTTTGGTGTCTTTGCGTGATTCAGCCAGATGGTGGCGCTGTAATGTTGAATTAAAAAGTACAAACACACAGAATGGTATTTTATTGTATTCTGTGTCGTCTATATAGTCTGTGCAGAAGCATTCAACAAAGCTTTTCATTGTATTTTGTGCATGATACTTGTACACATGACAATAAACATAACTTGAACTAGACCCTCGAAGAAGCTGGGTAAAAATATACATATAACACTTAATTTTCTATTTAAATTAATAGTTTGTACAAAATTACATTTCTAAACTCTGTCAACAATTACGCCAGCAAACACAGACCGTTTTTGGTTCCCGTTTGGTTATTTATTTTGGGAACCAACTACTAACGTTAAGGGGAAAATTTTTTTTTTAAGGTTATAATTTTTTGTAACCATAAAATAACATTCCTAGAACATTGCAGGGTGGTTATTTTTAAAATAACCTAAAAACAACTTATACAGAACATTCCCTATTCAGGTTATTTTTATAACCCTGTAAAACTATCTTTCCAATGAAAACGTTACAGCTGTTTTTTTTGTGTGTAATGTCCTGCAGAGCCCTGAAATTCGTTTAATGCAGCATTTACGAAAATACAGAAATAATAACAGTAATCATACAGGAACAAAGATGTTAGGGAAACATTCTAATAATGTTATACAAACCAAAAACTAACGTTCTATTTCCGCTAAGAAAACTTTCCTGACTAACCAAAAACGTCTCAGGTTACTTATGTAACCATGGTTCCCTGAGTAGGGAACGAGACACTGCGTCCTCTAGGGGTCGCTATGGGGAACGCCTCGTCGTGACCCGTGTCTGAAGCATACATTGAAAAAACACCAACTCGTTGGCCGGCGACAGCCATGACGTCACTACCGGTGCGACTATAGTATAAATAGGCGCCGGGAGCACACATCATTCACTTCTTCGTCTGAAGCTTGCGTCCGCAGCATGGCAAGAAACCTAGAGGACGCAGTGTCTCGTTCCCTACTCAGGGAACCATGGTCACATAAGTAACCTGAGACGTTC